ATCACCTTTTCCTTGTATCCCTCTTTTTTCCTGTCCTTAATAGACTCTGTTTTAGAGCCATTTTAGGTTCCCAGCAAAATTGAGCGGAAGGTACACAGACTTCCCATATACTTCCTGCCCCTACATGTACATAGCCTCCCCCTCTATCAACATCCCCCACCTTGTGTCTCTTTTTATTTTTTTTTTTTTTTTTTTTTTTTTTTTTTTTTTTTTTAAGAAAGTTGAACGATGGTTGCCAGGGGCTGGGGTAGGGGAGAATAGGTAGTTATTGTTTAACGGGTACAGAATTTCAGTTCCAGAAGATGAAAAATATTCTGGAGATGGATAATGGTGATGATTGCACAACAATGTGAATGCATTTAATACCACTAAATTGTATACTTAAAAATGGTTAAACTAGCAAATTTTATGGTATATACATTTTACCACAATTTTTTTTTTTTTTCAAAAGATGACCGGTAAGGGGATCTTAACCCTTGACTTGGTGTTGTCAGCACCACGCTCAGCCAGTGAGCGAACTGGCCATCCCTATGTGGGATCCGAACCCGGGGCCTTGGTGTTATCAGCACCGCACTCTCCCGAGTGAGCCACGAGCCGGCCCTTGTGTCTCTTTTTAAAAGTGAGAAAAATCTTTCCAAAAGGCCCCCCACTCAAAAAATAAATTTTCTTTTATTTCTCATCCCTTTTTCTAAACCAGTCATTAGCAAACAAGATGAAAGAGATTCCTATTATTGGTTTAGGGGTTAAATAGATGTTGGGAAGTCATCATAATAACTATCTATATAGCTCTGCTGATCTCTTTGTTCTTTAGAGCTAATGCTTTTTTGATCCCTTTACTATCATTTTAGTAGCATTTTGAGAGGGAGAGAGATACATGTGTTGATCCATCTGCCCTGTCTAACAGGACGTTCTGCACAGTTCCATGTTCACTGCAGCATTATTTACTAGAGCCAAGATATGGAAACACTGAGGCCACCAAAGGTGGGAAAAGAGAAGGGGGAAGGGCGTTAGTGAGAAATTGGTAAAGGGCCACAAGAAATGATTACATTGTATGATGATAGATATAGTAAAAAGAAAAAAAGACATGGAAACAACCTAAGTGTCTGTTGACTGATGACTAGATAAAGGCAATGTGTTATATACATACAATGGAATATTATTCAGCCATAAAAAAAGAAGGAAATCCTGCTGTTTTTGACAACATAGATGAACTGTGAGGGCATTATGATATGTGAAATAAGTCAGAGAAAGACAAGTACTATATGATTCCACATATAAGTGAAATCTAAAAAAGTCAAACTCATAGAAACGGAGAATCCAGTGCTGGTTGTCAGGGGCTGAGGGAGGGAAATGGAGAGATGTTAGGCAACTTTCAGTGATCAGATGAAAGTTCTGGGGATCTAATATACAGCATGGTGACTACAGTTAATAATACTGTATTGTATACTTAAATTTGCTAAGAGAGTAGATCTTACGTGTTCTCACAATGAATATAACATGATAACTATGTGAAGTTGTGGATATGTTTACTAACTTGATTGTGGTAATCATTTCACAATATATACATATATCCAGTCATCACATTGTACACCTTAAATATTTATGATTTTACTTATATAGTATATAAAATATAGTATATAACATATCTCAATAAAGCTGGAAAAAATAGAAATACCAAAAAAAAAGGAAGTTCTTTTGCAACTTTACATATACCTGTACTACTAACTTTTGCTTTTTGCTTTTTGCTTTTTGTTATGAAATTTTTCCCATGTACAGAAAAGTAGAGAATAGTATAATAACACCCATATACCTAGTTTTAACAGTTGTTATATTAATATTTTGCAATTATATTTGCTTTGTCTACATTTTTGATGATATATTTTGAAGTAAATTGCAAATATCATGGCATTTCACTTCTAAAGACTTCTGGATACATCCTTAAAAAGTAAATATAATTTCCAATATAACCGTGATACTATTATCTTACTTAAGAAAATCCAGCTCAGTTTTTATCTCCTGCAGAACAGGGAGGTCCTAGCATGATGAGGACGACTCCAAAAAAGAGCCTACTAAAAAGTTTGGAAGCTACTGAAATATTCATTGATAGATTAGTTAAGTAAGTTATGATATATCCGTACTATAGATTACTAGGGAATATTTTAAATGGTATAGTTCTATACATGGAAAGATTTTTACAACATCACTAGGTTTTTTAAAAAGTCTCTAAATAGTAAATACAGTATGATCCAGTTTTTGCTTAAAAATGCATGTCCAGGTTCTCGCCAGTTAGCTCACTTGATAGAGTGTGGTGCTGATAACACCAAGGTCAAGGGTTTGGATTCCTATACTGGCCAGCTGCCCACCCCCCACACACACACACACACAAAAATAATGCATGTCCATGTGTATGCATAGTAAAGAAGTCTGGAAGGATATAAATCAAAATGCTAATAGCATTTGATCTTGGATAGCAGAATTATGGATGCTGTTTTCTTTCTTAATATGTTTCAGCATCATCTAAATTATTTTACTGTTGGGGTCTTCAGCTATAAGCAGGCAACAGCACTATTTCCCCTCTTGATACAGAAGAATAGGTATTGAGGAAAGCTTTGGGAGATGTGTTCTTTGGACTATAGACTTCTAACAGGCAGAATAAATGGCATCTTTTTTTTTTTAATGTATGGGAAGGTGATAGTCAATAATAAATTATCATCCCAACAAATTTCTTTAGTAATATTGAAAAACTACCTGTGGCCTTGTTTTCCTGTGTTTTAATAGTAAAATATACATAACATTAAATTTGGGCTGGCCCGGTGGCGCACTGGATAAGTGCGCCGCTTGGGAAGCGTGGCGGCGCTCCCGCCCGAGGGTTCGGATCCCACATACAGACCGGTTCCCGCTCACTGGCTGAGCGAGGCGTGGGAGCAACACCGAGGGTTGCAATCCCGTTGCCGGTCCCCGGTCCGGTACGGGGGCAACTCTGAGGGTTGCGATCCGTTGCCGGACACGGAAAAAGACAAAAGACAAAAAAAAAAAAAAAAAAAGAAAAGGAA